GAGTGCTTCAGAAACCCTCTACCTTCCCCAGCTCCACCTGTATAGATCTACTATGGGTAATTCATGTACGCTATATTGTACAACAGCTAGCATGTCTTACTTGCTCACAGCACCATGTCGTGTGTGTATTGGCAGTACTTGCACTGCAGCAGCAGCATACAGCAGATCTATTCCATGAAAACCAAACACATCAACATTGTCACATTCATTACCATGCCAATCACTCTGAGAGTTGTCATGACAGAAAATAATTTCTTGCTAAATTCCCAGAAGGTTTTATGTGTGGGAGGAATTATAGGCTGAATGTATGCACTTGATTATGGCTCTTTCACTGTCTCACATGTCATTTTGTTCCGCAGGCTCCAGCTGTCTGGAACTCAACAAACAACAGCGGCGCTCCCAGTAGTTGGTACGGACGGGACTGGATTGCAAGCTGCACATCTGTTTCTCACTAGGGTTAGGCTGAGTCTCTGTCCAATAGAACCAAATGCATCCACCATAATCTCTCACTCCCCCCAAAAATACCTAAAGTTTTATTTCCCAACCCTTATTGGTTCGGGAAGGGGAGACAATTCTAAATGGCAGCCAATCAGAGACAGCGGTGTGACTACCGCCCCTAAAGGAATGACAACCTTTAACCCTGTTTGAGCAGAGGGTGGATAGTTTGAGTTAAAAGGTGGTTTTCAAGTATAAAACTGAGTCATGTTGAGTTTCGCAGTATGAAGTGTGGATCAAATTTCACTGAGAATTCCTGTAGTTGTTACAGCTGGCCTTTCCCTGCATTATCACATAACTGCCTTTCATTAAGTCATGTGTCTGATGATCTGCATTACAGATTTATAGCAGCTTCTGAGACTGAGCAGGGTAAAAAGGTAAACTGCAAGGTAACTAGCGGAGTGCATGATAAACATGTCAAAAGAACTGCAGGGTTAAAGGATGTTTGGAAATATTTGTATATTTTTTGTGATAAAATAGAAAGACAGACATAGGTATAAACATGGATGGAAAGATAGACAGATAGAAAGACCTGGATAAATGGATGGTGTTGGAAACTCAGAAGACCATGAGACTTGGTTCTCTATTGAGAGTGTGCCGTTTCTTAGCTGCAGTCATCAAGTCCCACTAAAGAAGCTGTATATTTATACATATTTTAGGGGGCAGTCCTGACAAGTGGAGACAAAGCCTGGGTGACTTTAAACAAAGGACTCAGTTATAGCAACCAACCCCAGACTCTAGAGTGTCACCAATCCTAATCCATTCAGCATAACTATTCAAAGAATGGGACAGAGACTCCAAGAGCCATTAAAGACAAAATGTGAGAGTATCAGTGATCTGACTCATTTCATTTACAATAAAGAGAACAGGACTGGCAGAAACTGCTTGCTAACATATTCTAAATCCAATGTATTTCCCCTTAGTTTTTCATGTGATGCTATGTCAGAATGTAGGATCAGCAGATCTTAAAGAGATACTTAAATTTGCAATCCCACAATTGATGGATAGACGGACATATAAATAGACATGAATAGATGGATAGACAGGCAGACAGACAGACAGACAGACAGACAGACAGACAGATGATAGATAGATAGATAGATAGATAGATAGATAGATAGATAGATAGATAGATAGATAGATAGATAGATAGATAGATAGATAGATAGATAGATAGATAGATAGATAGATAGATAGATAGATAGATAGATAGATAGAAATGGATGGATAGACAAGCAGACAGATAAATAGATAGACATGGATGGATTGATGGCTGGATAGCAGGCAGGCAGGCAGGCAGACAGACAGACAGACAGACAGACAGACAGACAGACAGACAGACAGACAGACAGACAGATAGACAGATAGATAGATAGATAGATAGACATGGATGGATGGATGGATGGATGGATGGATGGATGGATGAATAGACAAGCAGACAGACAGATAGATAGACATGAATGGATTGATGGATGGATAGACAGGCAGACAGACAGATAGATAGACAAGAATGGATGGATAGACAAGCAGACAGACAGATAGATAGACATGGATGGATGGATGGACAGGCAGACAGACAGATAGATAGACATGGATGGATAGACAGACAGATGGACGGACGGCTGAATGGATATATGGACGGACGGATGTCTGGATGGATTTATGGATAGATGGACATGGATGCATGGATGGATGGATGGGCGGATGGACAGACAGGTGGATGGATGGATGGATGGATGTGTATTATATTGGCCATCTAGATACAAGCACTGGTATCAGTTGCTAAGAAACATATATAATAGATATAACATATGCTACAGGACATGAACAATGAGAATCTGTGGGTAAGATCAAGACTGAAAACATTCCAATCTAGTTTGAAGCCACCACAGAATAAAATGTATTTGTGCGTCATAGCCTGAGCAAATGTTCATAACACACATTAAAATGCTATCAGTGAATGTCTATTCTAGCAAGCATCTGATTGGACAAAAAAAGGTCAAAGTATTCCCAGGAAAGGCAGATTAGAAATGTTACACCAACTTTTAGGATTAGAACACACACGGACACAAAACTAACCCAAGTATTTTAAAAAAGCTCAACATTTGACATATGCAAATAATTTACAGTAAACTGCTCAGTGGCCGACTGGCCGTTAATGACTTTTTTTACTAAATGAATGGATGATGCATCTCAATACTATAGAATTATACACTTGCCAGACACATTAATGTGACCTCAGTTTGGACTTTACTTCACCAAATAATCATTTATAAACGTAATATTGACACACTATGTATGTCAGCTGTGGCTACTCTGGCACTCCAGGACGGGTCCACTGTCCTGCAGAGTTCTCTAACTGATTCAACCAGACCTGTCAGTGATTTTCAATAATCCTGCGGACGTTGGCTAGATTTCTTCATGTGTGATTTATTAGAGATGGAGCTGAACAATGCAGGACAGTGCACTTCGAAGGCCACCTCTAACATAAGTTCATTTGTACTTTGTAACTGCATGGATACTATGTAAATTTTGCTTTTGCAATACGGTTATATTTTACAGTACATACCAATTGAACTTTGCTGAGAGAAAGACGAAAAGAGACACAAGATAATTGAGGATATAGAGCTGTAAGAAAAGTAAAAGAAAGAAAGTAAGCAGGAAGAGAAAGAAAGATTTGTACAGTATTAGGTGAAGGCCACCTTTGTTATGCATGTCTTTCCCAGAAACCTAAAACCACAGGACCTAAAAACAGGTGCCAAGTCTAAAACAGAGTGCATATTCTTTCCTAGATCAAGACATCCCCCAGAAGATTGTGGTAAAAAAAAAAAAAAAAAAAAAAAAAAATTTGCATTGTTACAACATATTCATGGAAAACAGTTGCATAGTATTTTTATAACAGCAATGAGATTAGGATGTTATGGTTAAATTTGTTCAGAATTTAACTACCATGCACCTTTAATACTAGTTCCTAGTGTGTGTGTGTGTGTGTGTGTGTGTGAATGTTGTCATTGTGATCGCTGGTAATCTTGCATCTTAGCAAATGCCTTGTGGCTTAGGGCCGAATTTATCGTAATTATGTTTCCCTTGTTCCCAGTGCCCTTGTTACATGTTAGTTACATTGTAAAAAAAATATATATATATATTATATACGATTGATAAGTTATGACAACATATGTTTTTACATTGCTTTAACTCAATTTTCTACATTAAAAAATATAAGTCAGTTTAATGCAATTTAAATTGAAATTACTTAAACATCCAAGTTGATTGTACTTAAAAATTGAAGGCAGGAACTTTTTAAAATAATAATAAAAAATTATTTGTTACATTAGAGCTTTTCTGGGTACTCGTAGTACGCATGTATAGTATAGCTATTAGTATGCAGCTTACATGCAACTCACCTTAACCGAACCCTAACCCTAAACCATAAGAACATGTAGTTCAAATGTAACGTAATTATTGCTTTTATAATGCATTTTTATGGTTTACGACTGAAAGTCACAGGCTCTGAGGCAATGGTAAAACAAAAGAGTTGTAATCTGGAAGGAAATTATGTTGAACTCCAACATCAGATGTGTGTCGCAACAGATGTTTGACATCTAATATAATTTCCATTTACACTAGTTCTTGGAAGTTCTCTTGCCTAACAGCCACCAATTTAATGAGTGAGGTAAAGACTTGACAAACAGAGATGCTCTCTGTTCCCATGACAATCAGAGCTGACATCAAGGACATGACCTGAGACATGAAATGAGGATTGCTATGAGATGCCAAGCCAAAATAACTAAATGAGTAACAAAGAGTGGACTTTATCCACTAATGAGTGATGACAGCTTTACAAACACTGACCTAGAAGATTTTCCAAAGAATGGAGGATAGCGAGTGACTTTTCTGTCATTTTTGCTCTTTTCTGTCATTTTGTCATTGGATGAACTAATCAAAGCATTCAACTTGAATTTCAACCAAGTGTCTGCAACAGGAAAGATCACTAGAAAAGTAAAACTTTTTTTTCAGTAAATATGTATGAAGAAAGACTATCTAGGAAGTTCAGAATGCACAGTTTTGTCAAGTAGCCTATCCTAAAATATAATTTACGAGGTAAAAGGGTTCTATTTAAAAAAAATGTATTCGTGTAATCAGGGGCGTGCGCATAAATAAACATTCCCGTAAATGGGCCAGAAGTTTTTTTTTTTGTTGTTGTTGTTGTTTTTCATAGCCTATGTAAAATCATTGTAGCTTACACAACAACAACAAAAACAGCAAATTCAGATAATGGAAAAACACACTTTTTAAACAAATTTAACAGCATAGCTCAAGACAGCATCAGTTCACCGACTTGTTTTCCCTTCAGAGCGAAAGTCACACAAACATCCATCTTGCTTTCAAACTATGCGCAAGAAAATGACGGGATGTGAGCAGAATTGAAACCCCGACGTACAGCAACATAAACTTTATTTCAATGCATAACGTTTTTGCGAAGATGAAAGAAATATTGCTCATACCTCCTTCAGTTCCTTCTCGATCTGCAGCGCTCGCTGAACTATTGGCCCGCGGACCGCGTAGTCAACCTTCTTCACGTTGGGGTTCATGGTATCAACGGTGAGCACTCTCCCCCGATGGGGTAACACTCCATTTTCAGACATTTTCTGCTGTAGATGTTCGCTTTGGGCCACCAGGGAAGCAGAGATATCCCTGTGGGGAGAAGAAAGGGAAGGCAGCGGGGAAAGGTTCAGGACCCAGTTGGGGTACACCGTCGCGTAAGCCTCACATCTTCCCAATTTTAAAACCCTCACGCTTCTATTAGAAAACATTTTATAAAAAGCTAGGGCACAACAAGATTAAGAGGTAGAACTTAAATTTGGGTTCGTAAACTTTGTTTTTCCGCGCGGGTTTCGGTGTTATGCGCGTAGTAAAACCTTCAAAGACCTACTCACAACGACCTTTGGACTGCATCAGATAATTCAAGATTTCATACGCACGTGCGCATAGTGGCCCCCACTAAATGCCATATCCCCACGCCTCTTTTCTTTTTTCCCCCCTTTTTTTCTACGGGCTCACAAACAGTAGCCTATATTCAGTGTTGCGTTCTCTTTTCCATGACTGCCACCCCTTTTTAAATGGGGTGTTTAACAGCCAGTAACTCCTCCAGACTGTAGGCTATTACGCACCAGAAGAGTAGAAAGGGAAGCCTCTTGGGTTGCCGAGACGACAGACTGCAACGATAAACCAGTGTGAGGTGTCTGAAGCAGCTCCAAACTTTGACCCGACCAGTGTAAAACTTCCATGCAAAGTGAGTGAACCTCCTACCATTGATAACTGAGAATAAAGCACGCCAGCTCCTCCCATGTTGTCGAGGCTCTGCTTGTGTCTTGCATGAGAGACAAGCGGTGAAACAAACGTTGCGATCACATTACAGGGTTGTGTGTTATTTGACAGAGGAACTGGCAAACTTGAGGAAATAGTAGAGAAATTGGAGAAAGTGAGACTTGATAAGGAAGTCTAAGTCTAATCAGTTGTCATGTGATCAGAGACCATGCTGTTCAGCATGTTGTTCATTATTCAATCACTTATTAGAATAGAGGAGTTAAATTAGAGAGATTACACGTTTTAAAAGTCCAAAGTTATTACATTTATAAGTATTATCAAATTTTCTGTGAGTCATTTACACTAATCTTTTTAAATATTGTCTACTGGAATCAAATAAAAGTTGAAATTGGTTAAATTATTTTGATGGGACATATGTTGCCATGACTTACTGATCTCATTGCATGCAGTGCATGCTGTTCACATCTTTCTTATTATCTTCAAGTCCCCCTGTGGTGAAAATACAGGTTTTAATGTCGTTTATGTCTATGTGGAGTTTTTAATATGATTTAAGACAAACCATGTGCAAATCCTTAAGTCAACTCCATTGTAATTTAAGTTGAGATTACTTACAAAGCCAAGTTGCCCAATGTAACCCAACTACATTCAGACATGCCATCTTGTCATTTCCAGTGACAGAGTTCAATGATTACTCACAATTACACACACATCATATTGCAGTCATAAAAGCATGCAGTGACAAGCAAATAACGTCATTAAGTTTGCATCTTAGCTTAAGGGCAGAAACATGTGACTAACCATATTTAAACATAAAGCACAGAACAAATCAGTCCTGATATTTGTCATTTCCCATTACTCCAGTGCGAACTGCTCTTAATGAGGTCATCTATAGAAATTGTGCATATGAGGTACATTATTTATTCACAATTGCCAAAAATCAATTCATGTGGACTTAGTGATAAATGTATCAGCTGTTTTTTATTCCTCTTTGAGGCCATTTTGGATTAAGTCACACAATTGTGTTGTGATAGTATTAATTAAAGTGGCTTGACCCATTTCAAACAGGGTGAATTGGTAAATATAGTACAGCCCTTCAATAAAAGTGTGCATGTACTTAGAGACAGCCAATGCATAGCTTAGAGATAAGATTTTGGGTGAACTATTTTTTTTAAACGCAGTATACTTTAATCTGTAATTCCCTTTATTATACAACCATCAACAGGCACTCAGGTGGCCAATAAAGATTAAAACGAAGTTGAAGCAATAATGTAAGTGGACACAAGGCAATGCCAGCTGCTTTTATTCTGTTCTGAAGGCTTAAGTTAATGGACTCAACAGCCATCAGCACTGATCATCAACAAACTCATCTCCATACCGGCGTGACTCCGACCTCCAACCAGGTGGAATCATAATCATGTTCGTTGCCTGAATCATAATCATGTTCGTTCATTGGCCAGAGGAAAACTGGCCCTGACTGAGCCTGGTTTCTCCTAAGGTTTTTTTCTCCATTCAATCACCTGATGGAGTTTTGGTTCCTTGCCACTGTTGCCTTGCTTTTGGCTTGCTTAGTTGGGGACATTTAATATTCAACAATATTATTGATCTGTGTTGTATTATTTTCATGTTATCACTGTGAAGCTGCTTTGACACACTCTGTATTGTAAAAAGCGCTATGAAAATAAAAGGTGACTTAACTTGTTATATAATGTCAAACTTGTCCTCAAACTTGTTTTAGTGAGAGGGCTAGGCAGTTGACAGGGCATTCTAAGCGGCCCCATAGACCTCCATTGTAAGCACATTTCTATCAACACATTGTTTTTGCAAACTGAGGCTTGTCACAGATCTCATCTGGTTTTGAACCCGGGTTATTTCTTTTAAGCAAAGATAATTAGACTGGGTGCGGCTGAATAGTTATATAAAACATGGCTTCATTTTCTTTTATTCATTCATAGAGCTTATTGACTGCACTGCAACGATATTTCAGCTTGACTGCGGGAGTGACTCAGGAATAGTTCTCAGCCAACTGCAGACTAAAGTTTCATTTGCTAATGGTAAATTATATGTGAACAAAAAAACAAGGACTGTAGGGCTAACATGATCATTTTATGACAAAAGCTTATTTGCATATCCAATGAAAACAGATATGCTTCCTTTTACACCTCGCGGATATTCGACTTTACTTTGTCATTATGTTTTTTTAAATTTATCGTTTGTTGGGTGTAATGCTGGTTAACTTCGGTGCAGGTTGTACAATGCTATTTATTTCTAAAACAAGATATAAATATGCTATTAATAGCCTAGAAAATGTTTGTGCAATGACACTTACAGCCAAAATGCGGTCTTTATTTAACCTTCTTACTGTATGTAGCGTGTTCAAATACGTCTTCTTTGTTTACTCTTAGGTAAGACTGGTTTTCCTGCCAAGACGGAGCACGGGATAAAACACTATGCAATAAAAGATCTCAAAGAAAGATAGGACACATTTCTCTCCTTACATCCTCCTTTTATTTCCCCCTGACTCAAAGTTCATTAAGAATGGTGATAACATATATATGATGTATATTGTGAATCACAAGATTGTGAATCTATAGTTGTTGTCCCTTTCATGTTTGGTATCATATTAAATGTCTCAGTGAGATTGGTAAAATGGTCTCAATTTCACCGCTGTCACTTATATTGTGAGAAAGATTGAAAGGAAAACTGTGTTCTACGGTTATCGGGTCCCTTCAAGATATCTAATAATCCTGTCTCCTCTCCCCCAAAACCAGGGCACATTTCTCTCAAAGTTATTTTTTCTCCATTCCCTCACCTATAATGGACTGGAGTTTGGGTTCCTTGGAGACTAAGCAAGCCAGTTATCTCATGGAACACGCATTATAGCTGTTTGTGCTACTACATGTACACTAGTTTAGTGTAATTTTAAAACACAGGACTGCCGTACTGTAAGTGTTGTGTGCAATTATACTAAGGTTAAAGGTTGTGCATTCTAGACCGTGTGACTTGTGTAAAATTTGAATAACTGTAACACTGGAATTGTTCAGCAGTTTCAAGTAACATGTGAGACTGCTGAATTTGTTTGTCTTGTACACGTGGCCGACAGGTGATCCTTACACTTCCTAAAAAAAAAAAGAAAAAAAAAAAAAAGAAGAACTGTAATAAGACTAGCCAGCAGAGGGAGTGGTTACATTGAATTCCACTGACTTGAAAAAAAAAATTAAAAAGCAAAAACCAAAAAAGATGCATTTCAAACAATACGTATTTATTCACACCACTAATTAACATGAACACCGCTAATAAACGAATTTATTCGCCAGTGTTATTAAGTGATTATTAACATACACAGCTTTCAAAAATACATCCATGTTCAGTTACAATGACAAATCAAAGCTACAGTAGAATTTGGTCTCACAGTGTGAATGCTACACATCAACACATACAGTAGTTAATAAGTGCTCCATATTTAGATTCACAATCTTGTTTGTTTAAAATCCTATTATTCTAGCTCCAAATTGCGCTGTAATAATACAAAATGCTATTGGTCACACGTAATATAAGGTTCAATTTGTTAACATTAATGCATTATGCCAACTACATTATAAACTGTATTAATCTAGGTTAATATTAATTTATAAATCTGCTATTGTTTACTGAACATCTTTTAAAAGATATTTTATTGCGAACAAACCTTAAAGGGATACTCCACTTTTTTTTTCTTTTTTTTGGAAATAGGCTCATTTTACAACTCCCCCAGAGTTAAACATTTGAGTTTTACCGTTTTCGAACGTATTCGGCCGATTTTCTGATATTTAGAAGAATATCAGTAACCAGATAGTTTCTGGTCTCATTAACTTCCATAGTAGGAAAAAAAATATACTATGGAAGTCAATGAGACCAGAAACTGTCTGTTAACTAATATTCTTCTAAATATCAGAAAATCGGCTGAATACATTAGAAAACGATAAAACTCGACTGTTTAACTCTGGGGGAGTGGTAAAACGAGCCTATTTCCAAAAAAAGTGGACTATCCCTTTAATTAATAATGAACGCTTTTACAGTGTGTATTAATCTAGGTTAATACTAATTTACAAATCTGCTATTGTTCACTGTTAATTATTGTTCAAAGTATTAGTAGATGCAGGAATTCACGTTCTAGCATTATAATGAGCATTAGATTAATCAATATTAATAAAAAAAAAGGACTATTCGTGGTTAGTTTATGATATCTAATGCTAACAAATTGACTCCTGTTGTAAAGTGTTACCAAAAAAATCTCCTTTTGATTAATTTGCAACCAGGCACAAGCTTAACCATGACGTTAAAGTGATAGTTCATTCAAAAATGAAAATTATGTCATAATTTACTCACTCTCATTTTGTCCCAAACCTTTGTGTCTTTTTTACTTCTGTGAAACACAAAATAAGATATTTGGCTAAATGTCTTGGTGGCGTACAATGAAAGTCAATGGGATTCAATATTGTTTTGGATATTTTTTTTTTTAATTCTTCTTCAGCATTTCACAGAAGAAACAACAGTTCTGCAATGACGTAGGTGAGAAAACATTGACAGAATTTTACTTTTTTTAAGAGTTTTCCCTTTAATGCCAGATCCGCTGGTGCCCAATTAAAGGGATAGTTCACTTTGAAATTAATTTTTGATATGTTTTAGCTTACCTCAAGGGCATCCAAGATGTAGGCGTCTTTGTTTCCACAGTACTTTCAATTTTGACATTTTTCAGTCAAACCGTTCTTGTCAGTCATATAATGGAGGCTAAGGGGGTCCATCAAAAAGCATGCACAGAGTAGTCAAAATTAAACATGATTTAATGACTCATAAATGTAAGTACACATTGATGGCCTAAGACACGAAACGAGCGGTTTTTGTGAGAAAACGAACAGTATTTATATCGTTTTTACCTCGTGTAATCACAGTGACGTCCAAGTGATCTGAATCAGTTGTGCAATGTCCAACTGAACTG